TATGGGGTATTTGATACTTTCTTGCAGGTTGTCGCTACACAGCGAAGTATATACGTCAACTGAAATGCAGCGGCGCGTATTATTTAAAATAAGTCTAAATTGAATTTCTGTGTATGGATCAGAGTTAACAATACCGGAACTCACCGAAAAAAAATATTAGTTTTTAAATGTAGCGGATGGAGATAATAAATGGGTGACACTAGATTTTCATAAGTTTTCTATATTTTTCCACTTTATAAGTTTATGAATTCATGACATAAAGTGGATTTGAATTGTATCAGTCAGTGCAAGAACCTCGTAAGTCCAATAGCTCGAATTTTTCAGGAGACAAAAAAGTCCCAAAAACTGTTTGAGCCTACGTTGTTTTAGCAGGAAAAAGGGTAAGTTTTTACTTTTTATTTAAAAATTACACTTATTGACTTACTAACGTGTCAAATTTTAATTTTACATGTTCTAATGTTGTTAACACGTTCGCTGCCGATGTCTCCGATCAGAGTCATCGGTTTCCATGAGCAGTGTTACGAATAATCCAGGTTTCAATGCCGGCGGCTCCGATCGGGGGCAATTTTTTTCTCTACCAGTATACACCTTTTTTAAATTCGATACCAAAAACTAAAAATGATTACATATACCAATATTAGTCTGATTGGTGAAAAAAAGTATATGGTTATACAGTTTCGCAGCATTGTATGAATAACTGTGCTTAGACAGAGCCGTTGAATGTTTAGGAATAACCAAAAAGGTGTATACTGCGAGTTATCTTATTATCTTATTATCAGGCAGTCTGGTAAGTTTATTGTATGAATAAGTAGGTGTTCTACTAGTAACGATATTGTGTACTGATCTGGATGATTGTGTGCATTGGTCTGCATGTACGAGTATATAAAATCAGTGATACTTGCGATGTGAACAATATGAATGATATAATGACTTCGAAGTTGAGTCATTTATTTTAACAGTGAGTATATCTGATCAAAAGAAATGTTTTTTCCTTTAACATTTTTGTGGTAAAATTAAAGTAACAAAGTTATAGCCCTTTAGAAGTTTGAGTACCGCCCTGTCTCAATAATAATATTATGTGCTGGTGTTTGGTTATAATCCGCCTTATCGGTTCATCGCATCGGAAACAAAAAAGCGAAAGAATTTGAAACGCTTATCACGATGTTTTTATTCAGTTGTATTCAGTCAATGTGTCAGTCGGTAACGCGTGAGTGAATAGTGGTGTCTGTTGCGTGGCTCAAACGAAATCTAAAATGGCACATGTTTACGAAAATGCTGAACTTGTGGACATGATTCTTATTTACGCGGCATCACGGATTTATGCGGATCGGTTTCCCAATCGAGTGCAACCAACCCCTCGTGCCTTTGTTAATGTAGTACAAAGGGCTCGTGAATCAGGTGACTTAAGACCTCACAGGGGAGGGCATGCCGGTGCTCCAAGACCGCACGATCAAATACAGGTCCGCACTCAAATACTTGTCGGGAGGATACTTTATAAAACAAGGTAACATTTTTTGTTAATATTTTTTTTTTGTTTACACACATATTTTGGTTTATCTTCCTTCTACAATCATTATCCGAAAATTAATGACTCAACTTCAAAGTCACCCTGTATAGTAGAAATCACATATCATTTTATTCACGTCACAAAAAGGCACGATTGGTGGTCGACTTACCTAAAATGGCAAGTCATATAAATTTAATGTGCTAGAAAATGAAGAAGATATATTAGCATGTCTCACCGAGTACAAATATGTCTACATGGTTGCCGCTTATGCACAGGCTTAATAATATAATATCGTCATTTTGACATTCAACTATGAGGTTAAAAATAGCACAATACAGGAAACATGAAATATCATGTTATCAGGATACCACAGGATGTTTCAAATTTGACATGACAGTTCATATTGTCAAAGCCTATCTTCTGTAATGTGTTAAGCAGTACTTCAATATGGACTTATCTCCGACTTACCTCAATACGTAATTTTTCCGTCACTCTCAACTTACATGCTATACAGAGAAAATGAGAAAGATGACGAATGCTGAGAATTCCTACAACATACCAATTTTGAAGACGTATGGCATCACTGGTGATTTGAAGCCGATGACGTGCATCAAAAGTTATGTGACTCGAACTTATATATAGAATATGCTGCCCATCTATTAGATGTACCAGACGGTTTATTTGTGTTGCCTTTCAAAGCTATAAATTACGTTATTTCCTGGTTTTTTTGCGTTTTCAAATACTTTGAGAGGGATTAATCACCACCGCGCACGCGTTGTGAGTAATTAAGCTACATCACAGAAAAATCAGGAATGATGCATCACACACAAAACTTTTTCGCAGTGCCTCACATCTAATGACAGGAAATAAAGATAATATAAGAGAGATATATAATAGCTAATCAGTCTTTCAGGTTTCATAAATATTCTTGTCTGTGGCATACTTTCTCACGTGTTGGTTGTAACATACTTCACCAATCAGGGACTGTCTCTTCTTATTTTTCTCGTTTTTGAAATTCAGCAAATTTGCATATGTAATTTCTGAAGTAGATGTTATATAACATCAAGGTCAAACATTGATAGCAGAAGCGTCAAGACGTTTAGGCATGACGTACAGCTACAGAACGAGTGCACATCACGTGAACAACAGCTAGTTATAAGTTGACATCTTATAATATGACAAAAGACCTATACAAAGTAAAAAAATAACATAGTGCCACTTTTCATGACACGTAATACCTATACCGAGCAAAGCGAACACCTGGGAACGTCGAATTTCCCGTTTTAGAACCAAACCATGAATCGACCATCGTAAAAAACACATAGAATAGGAATCGGTTTTGTAGAAGAATTCACGTGCTTATGTGACCACCAGGTATCAAAATGGATTTTTTCACTAAAACAATTGATGGAACAAATATGCTCTGCTTTCGTCCGTCCGACCTAAGACAGCCAACCATTGACAGCTGTTTCGTGCTTTTTCGCTCCTCCTCAACATGGTCCAGGCTTGGTCGTCTCTGGGAACGAACGGAAGCATAACAACTATACACTATCCAAAGTGTGTGTCTACCGAAGATGGCGCTTCGCGCTGTCTCACTTCGAAATAAATTGACCTTCCAAGATAGGTGTCGTGCGTGTATATCTATCCTTATACTATTTATACGACGAGCTATATATTTAAAATATTTAGCGTATGTTTAAAAATATTTATCAATTATATAAATGTGAATTCAGTCGATGGTTTTGGTCGAAAACGAGAAAACTTTCAAACAAGTGACTTCGGGCATATAACCTTATAATGTTATTTTTGTTGTTAATGATTTTAAAACTGATATCTTGATGCATATAGTACAGAAATATGAAGGGGGGCCTCGGTAGCTCAATGGTTAGCGCGCCAAGCTAGCTAGCAGCCAAGGGCTCGCGGGTTCCAATCTCCACCTAAAAGGTTGATTTCGTGCCTGTGTGTTGTCTATATCACGAACGTGGGTACACTATCATCGATGGGTACATTTTATTGCTGGAGCTGGTTTAGTATATCAACAACCAGCAGATGACTAGTGGAGTAGTATAGTGTTGGTACTATGGGGTCAGCACAAAGGGCCAAAGGCGGCTTATTTGCCAGGCTTCCCTTCCCCGCCGCTACTCCTACTACTTCTACATAAATTTGAGATGTATACCCAGAATATGCACATTGTTACGACCTTTTTTTTGTTGTAAATTATAGTTGCATAGATTTTACGAATTAGAAGGTTCTCTACTACTTACTCGCTTACTCAATTGCTGTAGGCGTTCGCACCACTAGTATTGTGGGATCACTAAGATTGGAAGATGTCCCTCCAGTTTAATGGCTGCCCTATCACACCCTAGGCCTTTTTTTCTTTCCTTTTTTCCTTCTTCTCTTTTTCTTCATTCTTCGTACATAACTGAGACCAGGATTTGACCAGAACTACATTCTGCAACCTCGGAAGATAAACTGCTGCACTGAACCGAGCATCGCTTGAAACCTTAATGTAGTACCGCTTTGGCTGGCTATCTGCTACATTCCTACATTTTACCATATGAGGGCTGGTTAGCACCACCAACGGACCTCCAACAGGTTATTCCAGAGATTACAGGACAGACTAGACTATACGATTTAATATATGTGAGACTTCAGGTTTCTTCAAGTTGCTTTGGATAATATCCGAATAGCGTTGGGTTTCTAATGTTTGTCATAATATTGCCTTAAACATGAATAATTTTTAGTTGACAATAAGTTGTTAGACATCATGGAGCACACGTTTGATGAATATTCTGATATGCGTTTAATGTACGCATTGGCAAGGTGCAATGCTTTAAAAACAAATATCTCGAAAACTATTAGCTTTAGACACTTCTGATAAGTAAACCTTTTTTGTTATGGAAATGCGAGAAAATAAGATTTTTCGGTTACTTGTTGTATACAGGGTAGCACAAAAAGGTTATGATAAATTATTTACCAAAAGCGCTGTAAGTGGCGCCCTCTAGAACTTTGGCGATACAAAAAACGGATTCTTCTTTCTCATACTAGAAGACATCCATACACCAAGTTTCATGCCAAAATCTGAAATACTTCTCAAGCAATAAAGAAAAATAGAAAATAAAATTGTAACACCATGTATCTCGCAAACTATCAATTGTTGGACTGAGGTATGTTTAGGTCAAGTCACATATTTTTGTCTATAGTTAGATCTTTGATATAATCAATGTTTCACACAGTTTCAGCTTTAGTGGAGTTGACATTAATTTGCCTATGCGGATAAAACTACTTGAAAATATACTGCATAACAAATTTACATGCTTTTTGTATTGTAGCTCTGTGTCAATGCAGAGTATATTGCTGTCGGGGAGGATGCTAAATAAATGCAACTGATGTCGAAACCATGTCGAAGTTGAGTTGCTGTCCGTTTGCTTTTGCTGAGCCTACATCAAGAGAAATGGCATCGCCTTCTTCAATGGATTTGAATAAAAATGCATTTTGTGTTAACATGTTATTTAATATTATTAATCTACATCCACCTACTAAACAAAAATAACAGTATTTACATTTTTCCTTGAAAGCGATACAAATTAAGTAGCATCTTATTATATGTACACGCATGCGCCACTATGTACAACATTCAAGCTTAAGGTGCAGTGGCTTACAAAAAAAAACAAATCGATGATACCTAAAAAACATCAGTGTACATTTGGTCAACAAATTCAATGGACACGAAAGAGTATTGACTCTGTACAGTGGCCCTTTGGAGGACAATCCAACAAAAAAACTGTCAAAACAGGTGAGGAAACTAAAAGTGTCATTCAAACAATTTTTACCGTTTCAATTCTCTATCTAAAAGATATGGAGAAATTATTTTCTATCTATCTATAAATAAATATATTTAATAATCAATACATCTTCAAAAACGGATCCTAGATATCTTATGATGTTTTTTCAAACATCGCAGCATTTTTAATTTCGCTCAAAGTTGAATAAGAAAATGAAATGACGTTTTCGAATTTTGATGGAGAAATATGGTATTTTCGGCTTGACAGAAGGTTGAAAAATAAGTGGGTTGAGGAGGAAAATTAGGAAAGCAGTAGAAGAGATCTCCATTAGAATTACACTTGAATTTCAATATAGTTTTATTTTCCTATGTCTCGAAGTATCGCACTAGCGCACCAAACCGTCTTTATGCAAGGTAAATAGTGAAAAGAATACTTGTATAAAGTATGTATTATGTCGGGTTATGTGCCTTTGAAATATACGAGGTGTGGTAAAAAAGTAATGAGACTGGCAACACTGCAAGTGATCTGACAACGCTGCGCAGTTGTCCTTCATATGGTCCGAGTTTTAACTCCGCCCGGCAACCACGTTATTTCTGGGATTAGTGAAGTTGTGCCATTAAATTTTGTTACGGTTGGAAGATCGGCAATTGAGACATTTGTAAAGCAGAAACAGGCCTATGGAGAACATTTCTAATTCTGAGCTTGAATTTTTCAATAGCGCAAATCATTTTTGAAAGTGAAGAAGCTGGACCCTGCTCGAAAACAACACGAAAACATCACCCTTGTCATATCAGATCATCGTCTAACATTGAGAATGTTGAGTGAACAGCTAAATAGGAAGAGCTCGGAACAATTGACCGTAAAACGCTTTCATGTGGTTCTCCAGCCCCCCATTCACCTGATTTCAGTCCCTGTATCTTTTTCCTTTTTCTTAAACTGAAAAATGTCCTGAAAGGATGTCATTTGGCACTTTAGAAAACATCCAAAGCAGTGTGACGGACGCTGAAGTCGATAGTAGTCGAATACTTCTAGTGCTGCTACCAAGGCTGGGAACAAGGTCTCCAAAGGTATGCAGCTGCTCACGGGAACTGTTCCCAAGGGCATAATTCTGATGTTTGAAGAAGAATTGAGATTAGGGCAAATAAAAAATCAGTCTCATTGTTTTTTCGCCGAAGGTGGTATTTTGTTTTTGCGTAAGTGCATATTAATTTAATATAGAGTAATTTCTGGGAATATGGAATAGACCGGGTAATATGGAATACGCTTTATTATTGAAACAGAAGGCGTCACCTATGTTTTGGTAGTTAAAGTAGTATAATTTAGTCTATTACAGGTTCCCTATGTGAATTGACTCAACTGGTAACGTTTTGAATTTTAGCAGTTGGCATCATTGAGTATTGCACTTTTCAAGAGTTTTGAACGTTGCTTTTGGCTGACTTGTTTTGTTAGTTATTTCTTTAAAATAATCCTTCGGGTATTATAGAATATTGCATATTTCACGACAATAAATTAACAGAAGTATCTTGTTTAAACGTAGAAAAATGTTCTAGGATTTACTTTATATTTGCCGATTTTCTATAGTTGCGTCAAAATTACTGATTTATTCACGCGTTGGTTTGACCACTTTTTAGGAAAAACCAAACCTACACAGTCAAGTCCAGTGCTTCTTGTACTTGATGGCCACCATACACATACTTAGATGTGATTATTAAGGCAAGAGACAATTGTGTCCCCACAATATGCGTACCATCGCATACCACACATAAGATGCAAAAACCAAACCTACTCAGGCAAGTCCAGTGCTTCTTGTACTTGATGGCCACCATACACATTCTTAGATGTGAGTATTAAGGCAAGAGACAATTGTGTCCCCACAATATGCGTACCACCGCATACCACACATAAGATGCAAAAACCAAACCTACTCAGGCAAGTCCAGTGCTTCTTGTACTTGATGGCCACCATACACATACTTAGATGTGAGTATTAAGGCAAGAGACAATTGTGTCCCCACAATATGCGTACCACCGCATACCACACATAAGATGCAGCCCCTGGACAAAATTCTGATGAGTGCACTAAAAACATTGGACAATGAAGAAGTAAGAATCGGGCTATAACAACTTTGATGTATGCGAAATTTTTGGACGAGCGTATTTAAAGGTACAAACAGCGGAGATATCCATTAGGGGGTTCAGTGCAACTAAGATATATCCTGTACGAAGAGATGTTTTTTCTGACTGCAGATCACAGAAATACAAGTCTTCCAAATGTTCTTTCCACAGATGTCATACCCATGCCAGAATTGAAAAAGTAAATTATTACAAGAGGCAGAAAATGTGGACAGGCGAAAATAATAACCTCAACGCCCAACAAAGATGAACTAGAGGAGTCGATTAATGTTTCATGCGATAAGGTCACAGGAAAGATAATAACCAACGAAGCTGCTCCAGGCTCTTCGAACGCGCCTAAAAGGAAAAGACAAAACCGTTTGTCAACTTCATCGTCATCTTCTCAGTCGCAGCCTGCTATTGTAAACGACAAATCAGATGATGACGAACTGGTACTATTTACCTATGTGAAAACTAAATCAGCTTCTGACAATGCAGGAATGCCAGGAAACCTTTACCATGAGTCGTAATAATGAAGTATCGTTGCAGTGTGTTATCTGTTAGACTCGTTTCTGTTCATTTTGTCTCATTTCCTTTAACATATCTTACCCTCCACTTTTGTTTAGCAGTGTAGTAGTGCCAATTTTTACTTATTGTTTTGTATCTGGGGACCACACCTTTATACCTAAATTCATCAAGCGATACTTTTCGATAATACCACTAGTTAATAATTTCCAAGATATGAGACAGGGTAGTTGTGTTATTTTTAATTTACGAGTATCTCGACCAACAAAAATGGTATTCCATATCCCCGGAAATTACTTTACACTTAAATTTTCGATAATTGAGTGTTGGACAGTTAGGAGTTGTTATCAATGAAACACTGATATCTTATACGCTTAGAAAGAACGCTAATAGATAACGTGTTACATAAATATAGTACGAATCAACAAACAAGCTCGTACGGAAGATTTTTACATATTTTACGAATGTCGTCTCAAGAGGTGATAGTGTATGAGGGTATTTGCGTATGGGCAACACTATTGTGTTTTTTAATAGGTAATTTATTTGTTGCTATGACTTTCGATGCGGTAGTATGAAAGAAACTTATGCAGTGGAGTATACTAACTGAACTTGTGTGTGAGGATATGTGTAAAATAATTTGTTTCCTATTTTAGATTTCATACGATATGGAGGATGGAATTGCAGGTAGAAAATGCTCATGTCCATGACCGACGAATCAATCGATGAAATAGTGCGACTTCCAAACCTTTCCGCCAATTTCAAGATAGAAAATGAATATTACCTTTGAAAGGACAACTTATTGATGGAAATTCGACAGTTTTGCCACAAAAGATATTAGACATTTTTTAGCTCAAAGTTGCCATTTTTTATAAGCAAGTGTGTATTGTTTACATCAATTTTATGGAACTCATATCCAAGCTTACCTAATTCCAAGGAACAATTACCCTCAGGACACTTCCTTAATTATAGTCGAGTACCAAAATAATAGAAAGTATTGGAACCTAACGTACGCTTCTGCTAATATGGCTAATCTTTATGTACCAATCGGAGCCCACTTTAATCGAAAACACGCTGCGTCAACAGTGGCGTACGATACGTTACGATACTCTCTTCTATTTTGTTACTTGAGCCATTGATTAACGTGTTCTACCTGAAGAAAAAAAATATACTGTATTCTGGCGCCAGACAAGGGTTCTGAAAAATATTAGCGCCATCTATGAGTCATTATCAGAACAAAAAAATAAGCTTATAAAAGCTTTGAAAAGAGTTCTACTACTATCTTATAGATGGCGCTGAGATCTGCAATCCTTTTTGGGTATCTTCATGTGGAATTCATTGACGATTGCCTGAAGATACCCAATCAAAATAGGCGCGAAAAGGCAGAATTCTTAATTCATTTTTGTGTACTGCAACTGACTCATGGATCGCGCCATTATCTTTTAGATCCCTTTTGGGCGCCGGGAAGCAGTATAAGGTTAGAGCTATCTTCTCGTAGGATACCTTGAACATAGCCAAGTATCATTTGAGGCTTGAACCTATACGAATATATTCTATTTTAAATTCTCAACGAGATCAACAAGCAGGTTTTCTTAAAAGTCACCGTACCTCGTACCTTGAATGTAAGTACTTCGAACCATTTAAAACGTAACGTAACAATGCATTCCGATCATCACACGTCATCATCACTGACGACAACGTCTCTGCCGATACCTAAGCAGCCCTTGGGGGGCGAGGGTATTTATTTACGGGCTGTCGGGTCCACCCGAGGGAAGGCGCACGCTCCTGTCTGACGTCTGGACGGAGGCCATGACAGTCGGCCGACCGGCCGATGTCTGGGACTCCGATGTCTCCACTGATGCAGGCACCTGGAAGAAATTTGGTGACTCTTAAACCAAATACTGTGATTGTTTATTAATAGGTGGTACACATACATAACTGCACAGTATTCGGGGATTAACATACATGTGGAATCCGTTTCTTGTACACTCGTTCGTTTGTGTACGTGTTTCAGTTTTAACGTATGTCCTAAAAGTTTTGACACAAAATACTTATCGGTTTTTTTTAATGAAGAAATTTATTTAAACACTAACTAGTTATCATAAATTAAAACTCAATACTTAACTAAACTATACTATTGAGTTATATGGAGTGGCCCACTCTCCTCAACTTGAGGAAACTTTCCTCGAATGTCTCTCATGAGGTCCTGGACGGAATTCCGATCGATTTGTCTCAGTTTTTCTTAAATACGCCGTCTTAATTGTTTTTCATCTTGGGCTTCCCAAACAAAATATATGTTGGGTTGTCGAAGCCAGTTTTGGGTATCTCTTGAGTAATAGCATGGTCTGGCCAAAATGATATGGTCATTAGCATGATGTTCGTGGATAAACCAAAGCAATTTGGAAAGCCAGTTATCAATATAGCTCTGGCAGCAGCGGTGGCCGCAGTAGTAGATTCTTCCGTCTCCTGATCAGTCGCCGTGCGCTGTACGGGTTCGAATTTTTCTCTTGGCTATGGACTTTGTGATTGTACGTAGGTGGTAGACGGTCTCTGACTGTCGAACGCAGAGGTACCACCCGGTGGATTTCGTAGGCGGAGCCAGAATGTGTGCATGTTGCATGCACACGTGTTCCCTCGCCTGAGTCCGTGTGGCTTTCCCCTGTATCCCCTATAGCGCCATGGTACCCCATGCGTGTTTAGGCCTTAGGCCTTCGTGGTAGTTGGAGTATAAAAAAAATTCAAAGCTTCACCCCTCACTCTCCCCACAAAAGATTGAGATACACCCCTGTTGGAAACTGCGCACCACACCAGGATTTTATCGCTTTATGTTTGCATCTAATATTGTTACGGCATTCCTCTACGTTGTCCGAATAAAATCTGTTGTTTCCCTTCATTTCATTTTTCCATTGGCAAAGTGCGAAGAAGGAGTTGCGCTTGAGGGTATTTGGGGCAGTAAAGTCTCTTTCCATATTTAGGACCATTCCTTTTCAATTCCAACAATATCGTACTCTGCGAAGATATGTATTTTTTGCTCTTCTCACTAATCCCTCTGCCCTCTGTGCAGTAAATGCACGTGGCCTTCTACTTTTTGGGAGATTCAGTCATGGTATTACCTGCTCACACTCCGCTATTGTTCGATAAATGCTGGAATGTTTTCTTTCTGGAATACACTACAGATTTCAGCTTTGGGTACCCGCCCAATCGACTTGTTGATATTTTTTCTTATTTCTAATTCATACGACATCTTAAAGAGAAAACTTCAAAATAAATAAATCTCAACTAACAGTAAAGTAAGTAGACAAACTTGTGTTTCCCAAGGCAACTTGATATTATTTTGTGTTTGTTCAAATTAAAGCCAATGAATTTTATGCCAAAACTTTCAGGAGATACGTTACCTCACCGCCTTGAATATTTTTCATAAGTGACGGCTAAAGCGTTCCTTTGTTGTGGTTTTGCGAGTGCATTTTGCTGGTCGTCCGTGACGTTTTCATCCGGCACCTCGCTGGTTTATTTATCTCATAGAAAGGCCGTTGGCAGGTATGTCACCGTGGACATAGCAGGAGACCTTGACGTCTTAGACGGGTGCAAATGCCTAGCACACACTGTTGCCTTTGCAAGCATTAGGCACAGAGCAGTATTTGAAATTTATCATAAAATGGACGGTAATGACGTTCTCCATTGTTTAACAAGTTCTGCCGCTGTTACACCGCACATAAGTTTTATAATTACAGACCTTTATCTGTATTAGCATTTGGTTAAATCGGATGTTATAAAAGGGCAAACGTAGCGCTATAATGAACCACACCATGTGAAAAGTATGATAAGCTATTGTTTCAGTAAGCACACATTAACCTTTAGCAACTTAAGCATTTGTTGAGAAATACTTGTTGAAATAGATCCGATTTAGAAAATCCCGTAGACAGAATGACGTAAATGTAAATACAGCATGTTAATAAAGTATGTAGACAAACTTTAATCATCGAATCCGTGGCCAATTTGAAGACTAAATGTTCATATGAACATGAGTCCGTAGCGGCTTTCTTTTCCAGCTAGAGCACTATCACTAAAGAAATACGAGTAATGTTCCAAATATTTCTATGAACGATGAAACGTATTTATTGAACAGTAGGTATAAGCTATGATAAATTTTGCATGTTTTACAAGTTGCTGAGGCTCAATATGAACGTGGATGAAAATAGTATTATCCTGTACTTTTTGAAAAATATTATTTAGAAGGTCAATAGTCCTTTTTTGATTACTGATGTGTGTTTCGCGGAAAATACAGTCAACACAATTTTTTAAAAATACCGTAACTTGGTGCTTGTTTGAAAAAAAGTTGCACTCTAAGGGTAATTTCTAGATGGTTTGGTTTATAAACATAATTTGGGTGTTATAAAGTTCTTTTGACAGATATGGAGCTAAATTCTTAAAAGTTCTGCTTTTCGATTAGATCTATGTCATATGCGTTTTCTATTTCGAAAAAAAGATAATGTTCCTGAAAACTGAACAACGCAACAAGCCACACAGATAATTTATTCGGTCAAGAAGGACATGAGCTGCTCATAACAAAATTACCTATTATTGACAAATATTTGGGTTATTTGCAGGCCTACAATTGTTATTAATAAGGATAAAGATGGTTTGAAATTATTACCTAGTGGTATTGTGAAACTAATTCCAAAATAATTTTCTTACGTAACAAATGCATAAGCTACATCTATAACGGCAGCAAAGTCATAAGCCACACATTTATTTATTCGTCTAAGTTAGCGATTGGGAATCAGTATCAGAGCTACTATCACTCGCAGAATAGTGCCTTTCATTCACACTGTAATCCGAACTAAATCCAGAACCCGCTTTGTTCTCTATATCATTGAAATAGCCATTGCAGCCATCATCGACTAATTTCCGTTTGGCGACCATCTTGGAATCTAAGTGGCTTACAACTTTCTTGGTGTAAAAATGTGTGGGATATCGTGGTCAAAAAAGCAATTTGGCAATTATAGCGATATCTAACAGCGAATTGTCGGAAAACTCAACATCAGACATGGGCGCTTTTAGATCGAAATACGGTTTTTATCCAAATGTGGCTCAGGCACAGTCTGCGAAAACCAAAAGTTTGTTATCCCGAATAAACTGTGTGTTCAGTTGGTAGCTATGAGCCCCCTCAGGGTGAGGTTCTTTGTAGTTTGGTTTTTGGGCGCAATGGGTATTTGGGAACCACGTAGTTTCCAAAAACTAGGAAATGAAACAACAAGTATCACTGTTGAGATTCTGGCGTTAAACAAGATACCAATTCACAAGATACACAGACATTTATTGAACAAAAAAAAAAATAATAAAAAACTAAGGAGAACATGGAAAACAGGTTAATAAGAATGAATTTATGTATCCCCCCCCCTAGCTTATTCAGAAAAAAAACTATAATTAAACAAAAAACTATAATTAAACAAAAACGTTGGCTATCATTGAACGGCTTCCGTTGGTAGTTAGTCCCAGATGTTACCCTAAAACCGGTGGGTAAAGCGGAAGGGTAGAACTGGAGGGTAGAACTCTAACAATGAGAGTTCTCAAAAAATCTGGCTTTGGACTAACCCTGTACGCGGTTCCCCCCCCCGCTGGTTGAGTGTAATAATCCCCAAAGGGGTAAGAAAGAGGCTCCGACACTAAGAACCACCAAGGAGGCCGGTTTCTAACAAAAACTACTGCACCACCATTTGAATCCGCAACATAGCGTGTGGACAAATCACAGGATCGGGTAGTTATACACCAGAGCACCGGAAATAGGAGCAAGTTACCTTCTCCTCTCGAATTTACGGTAGACAGAAATAATAAAAAATGACGTCCAGCGAGATGGAGAGAAGAGTATGATTTTCTACCACAAAATTATTAGCCTGAGGGAAGTGTTTTGTTATAAAATGAAATTCGATGTTTTTAAGAACGGCTATTAAATCATTATTCTATATAACAAAAACGTTGTAATAATTTGCTTTATTGAAATGTAGCTAATTTTTAATCGACCATGAAAAAAACTGCAACACGTTCACCAGTTTTGGCTTGAAAAATAAGGTCGGAATCGGAATAAAATGAACTAATCTCAAAATACTCTTCATGGTCTTGAAGAGCAAGGTTTTAAGTTTAATTCAGCGTTTTTAAGCATTGAACATATCCCACAGTAACACAAATCAAGTTTCTTTTTTCAACTTTTTTTAAATAAATTTCATTTTTTGCCCGGACACATTCCTCTTTAGCTATTTGACCATTCCGAACAAAAAATGCTTTCATTAAATTTTCTCGAGATATAATCGTCCAAAGAGCCCTAAAAATTGGTATATTCAATGCTCAAAAACTCGGTTAAAATTATAATTCTAGAGGTCGCCAAATTTCCAAACTAACTTGCTTTACATTACCCTGAAGAGTATCTTAAGATTGCTTTATTTTGAGCTTGACTGTTGGCCCGAAATTGGCGGGCTTTTGGTTTTCGCAGTCTATTGTAGATCCAAGCGCTTCAAAAGTATCAACTTACCGTCTGACTAGATTGCGTCTGATTGAAGACCGCCGGGGATGAGTGCGACTGCGAGGTGAGCGACGTAGTACCAACGCCCACAGTGTTAGTCTCCCCCCCTCCACCGGTACCACCCCCTCCACCTCGATCGTCTTCGCTGGGCGAGGTCGACGTCGACGCAGACGCCACTTGACGTAGTGACGTCTGCGTCGTTACGCTAGGTCGACGCACAGCTGACAACAGCCGAGCTAAACGATGGCGCACGAGAGATACACCGCCGCCAACCTGAAACAAAAGATAGATAACATTACAATCTCGTAAATAGTATTCAAAGTCACTATTACCATTGAATAACGTATTCTATCTGAAGTTAGCTAACCTAATACTGAATTCGCGCGACTAAAAAATGATGTGAGGTGAAATGAGACGCGCCATCCTATGAGAATTTGTCACAACTATATTTCTCATATCCGAAATAATTAGAAATCTAAGCATGATGCTTTCATTCGTTGGACACCCAACAACGAACAGCTGTTTCATGCTTTTTGGCGACTCATCAGCATGGTCTAGGCTTGGTCTCTGGACAACGAACGAACGTATAGCATCTATCATAAGATCTATCGATCGCAAAGCGCCAGCTATACTTTCGTTTGTTGTCCGTATACCAAGCCTAAGCTTAGCTTGTTCAAAGGCAAGTAGAATACATCTTCTGTAACGTCAGAATCGTCAGTCCTAGTGGTGACTGGGCTATCAAACGTGAACTGAGAATCTTTATAGTTCCAACTAATAGCTGCTATATTCTCTCGAAGTGGTCGAATTTGGTAATAGATGGCGCACCGTGTATGCTAATCATAAAGATTGCCATATATGATACAAAAAGGTTAAAGCAGTAAGTCATCGTTTATGAATAAAATTTGAGAATTGAAGAACTAGTGCGAATTATTACTGATTACATAAGGCTCAGTTTCCTCTAAGACGCAAATCGCTTGTTGTGTACTATTATTTTTTTTGTCGAAATGACCAGTCGTGGCGACTTGAGTAACAGCGAACTGCTATCAGAATTGGTAACAATAATAAACAAGGAAAGTGATGCCATTGAGATTAGACAAGATATCCAAGAAATTAGAAGAGAAAACGCGAATTTGCTAGAACATATAAAACAACACGTCACAAAAATAGATCATTTACAGACAGTGTGTAAACATTTGGAGAAAGAAAATTTACAGCTGGAAATGGCGATACAAAAAAACCACATACTTGTGTTTAGCTTAGAAGTTGATACAAGGACGACTAGCTTCCGAAGTACAGCACTATTAAAAATAAATATATCCACTGGAGACCTTAAAAATATGCATAGTATTAAGTCAGGTAGGAGCTGTCCTACAAAAATTGAGTTCGTGTCATACCTCAAAAAGCAGGAGGTCTTCCAGAACGTACACAAACTTAAAAACAGTTCTGTATTCGATGTACACGATCTATGCCCAAAAGATCGAGAAACAAATAGAAGCCTTCAAAAACACCGGAAAGCAGCAAAGGAGAAACAAGACTCGGCAAAAATAATCGGCGACGCATATACTGTTGATCAGAAAGAGATATGTTCATTACGCAGACAGACAATAACACAAGCGCTCCAACTACACCCATTATAGATCCGATTGGCGACGTATTTGACCACCACAATGGCAATGTGTTAGTCAACATATTACCAGAGGACTCTGTTACACGCCTCAGCATCTCACCCGACCGCAAACCACCGGCTAAGAAGGCGAAACAGGAACCTGCTAAACCGAATTCTAAAGGCCAGCCCCCGAGTCAATCCAAGTCTAGTTAAGTGAAATATGGCGACTTTCATTTGAAAGTGTAATAATATAAGTATTTTGAGGCTACTGATCTATCTTGATTTCTTAATCATGTTCAATCATCACTAGTTGTTTTATCCGTATATATCAGAAATGTGTAGTATCCTTCTTTGATTTCATTGGTATCTAACATGTCTTACTGACTTTCTTTTGTATGCGATGCTGTTCTCACATTTGAATGTTCGATCTATATTTTCTGGACTAGAAACATTGAAAAATTAGATTTTTACTTCTGGCGTTGATGTTTTAGGTCTTTCAGAAGCATGGCTGTCTAGGAATATCAGCTCTGATGCTATAGGAGTGAATAATTACACTGATCAACAGCCAAAAAATATCCTAAATAAAATCAACAAAATATTACTATCTTTAATGTGCTAAAACCGGAATGAAACTTATTTTTTCAATATTAGTTCAAGTTTTAGAGATACGGTAATTATATGTGTTCCTGCTGTGACAGTGTTAATATACTGTAATTCACAAGAATGCACGTGCTACATTTTTATATTCGGCAAGGAAAGATGATGTAATCGGCATGATTGTGTTCCGTTATACATACGTGTACATTATATTGTTTTATATTAGCCATTTTTTCCTCACTTGGCTGACAGCGTTCATGCAAGATGTCTCGAAAGTGTGTAAACAATCCAGATCAGTTTTGTTACGTGTGTGGTGATGTGACTTTTGCGTCTCAGAGACGGTCTATTACTCCACTAATAACAAAGGCATATCAGCTTTATTTCGGTTGTAAAATAGGTGATCAAGACAAACAGTGGGCACCCCACATCTGCTGTAATACATGTGCTTCAAGTCTGAGGAGCTGGTTAAATGGCAAAAAACGGTCTATGCGCTTTGCTGTCCCAATGGTTTGGAGAGAGCCTACAAATCACATTGATGATTGTTACTATTGCATGGTACCTTGTGTTGGACAAGCCACAGGTATGTCCAAGAAAAAAAAATCGGTTATTAACTACCCAAACATACCATCTGCGATGAGACCTGTGCCTCACAGTGACGAAAATCACATTCCAAAACCCCCAGAATCCTACACTTGCGAATCAGAAAACGAATCAGATCATGGCGATCGAGTGATTCGTCAGGAAGAAGATATCCCATCAACGTCAAGAGATCCTGATTTTATACCGAGCACGTCATGCCACCAATCGCACAAAATAACACAGTCAGAATTAAATGATCTTGTAAGAGACTTAGAACTTCCAAAATGTAAGGCAGAGTTACTTGGATCAAGACTGCAGCAGTGGAACTTGTTAGAAGACGATGTTTTGGTATGTGTTTTTCGTAAACGCCACAAAGACTTAGAACCATTTTTCAATATGGAGAATAACTTGGTTTTCTGCAGTAACATTAACGGCTTACTGGCGGCTTTAAATATAAACTATAACCCAGAAGAATTGAGATTGTTTATAGACAGTTCAACATTGAGTTTAAAGGCAGTGTTATTGCATATTGGAAATATTTTACCATCTCTTCCTATAGGGTATGCAGTTCACATGAAAGAATCATATGACAATATGAAGTACCTATTGACATGCATAAAATACGATGAGCACCAATGGCATATTTGTGGCGATTTGAAAGTTCATTACACCACACAAAACTGGCCTGTTCATCAATTCCTAGAGCCAGGTCAAAAAAATGTACAGCATATGGTATTAGTAGATTCGAAAAAAAATTTATTACCACCACTGCATATCAAGTTGGGCCTAATGAAAGACTTTGTCAAGGCAATAGATAGAGATGGGTCAGCTTTACAATACCTGCGTCAGAAATTTCCAAGACTAAGTGAGGCAAAGGTTAAAGAAGGTATTTTTGTTGGGCCACAGATTCGAAATATTTTGAAAGATACACATTTTGAAATCACTTTAACAGGTATTGAAAAAACTGCTTGGAATGATTTCCGTCTGGTGGTCACTAATTTCTTGGGAAATAGAAAAGCTGACAACTATAAAACCCTTGTCAAAAATATGCTGTCATCGTATCAAAAAAAGGGCTGTAATATGTCTCTTAAGATGCATTTCCTACACTCACACCTGGACTTTTTTCCTGACAATTGCGGAGCCGTAAGTGATGAGCACGGCGAACGTTTTCATCAGGATATTTCAACAATGGAAAAAAGGTACCAGGGAAAGTGGAATCCTTCCATGCTTGCAGACTACTGTTGGACTCTTGGTAGAGATGCTCCAGAAACGATCCATAAAAGAACAGCAAAAAGACAGCGCATATAGTGATTCTTATAAGTATATGAATCTTGTTACTTTTTCTAATATATCCTTAAAAATAAAAAGTTTTTTTTCTAAACCGCAACTAATTTTTTTATTTCATTGTCATTTTTGGATTCAGCGCCCCAAAATTAACAAAGAAGTGCACTTTTCCCACAAGATACAATTAAAAAACTAAAGTTTGTTGTCCAGTGTTATCAGGTAGAGAGGGTAGACAGAGACAGCAGGGGATGAGGTTTATTGTTCTATGTGAAAAATAACATTAAATATTTTACGTTACATAAAAGTAGTAATGAGGATTTAGAGCAGTTATGAATACGCACTAAACTATATGGCAAAGCACACATTTTTGGTGTCATTTATACGCCTCCTAAAGGCATTATCACTGAATTTCTCAATGCTATGGATGAGTCTCTTTCTCAAATGATTCCTAGCTGAGAAGAAATTTGTATTACTGGAGACTTCAGTATCGATTTTCTCACCCAAGGCACAGCTGTTCAGAAATTGAATAAATTGTTTGATTTATATAACTTGAAACAAATAGTCGATGTCCCTACTAGAATAACTCCTACCTCACAGACATTGTTAGATCTTATTATAGTCAGTGAAACGTTAAATATTAGTTTCCACGAAGCTCTAAGCCTGCATGACACATTTGACCATTTTTTAGTTTCGTGCCACATCTTCGAGAAAAACTTGATTTCAGATCCGCCAAGAGTCGTTAAGGCCCACACGTGGAAGCATTTCAATTATGAATGTTTTAGTAATATTCTGCATTTTATTAATTGGGATACAATTACATCTTCATCAACGTCAATTTAATGGTCGAATTCTTAACTAGAGAATTAATACGTTTTTTCGATATGAGTTGCCCTGTATATGAATTTAGAGTAACCAGAAACTTTACTCCTTGGATCACGGATAATATAAAGCTTCTAATGAAATTGCGCGACAAAGCTTTTTGTAAGTTCAAAAAAAGTCGTCAACCGTCTCACTGGGACTATTATAAGGAACTTACACAAAAGGGGCCATACAGCGTGAGCAGAAAGCTTATATTGAGGTTTCTATGAAACAAAGAAATATAAAAATGACTTGGCATCGGCTACGTCAAATAGGAGTTGTCAAAAACAGTACAAATTCCATTCCTCAACACCTTTCTAATCCAGATACAATCAATGCTTACTTTTCA